AGGAGGCAGACTCTGTCCATTCTTTATACAGTCTATGCATCAAACATAGCAGAGGTTGACCGCACTGATCTATTGAGTTTAAACAACTTACCAGATAATCAGACCTCCTCACTCTCTTTCCTTCAGCTGAGCTTTTTTTTACTCCTGTCTCAGTGTCACAGAGTTTTATCCTCCAGCTCAGATTGCTGCATACTATCACAACCGGTTAAACCTTTATTTTCCATGAGAGTCACGACGCGAACATTTGCTTGAATTGAGATTTTCTCAAGTTGCGGGATTGGCGTTTGAAGCGAGTAACTCATTGGACACAATGAGTTTTATTTGTGCAAATAACCCAATCAATTAGCGCTATTCGCCTTGTGCAACTCCTGTCATATGCGACGCCTGATTAGAATGCCCTTTTAATCGCTTCTTTGCACTGACCTTACATGTAATTCATTTACACAAATGATTTTATTTACAGCTGAATTACCTCGTGTAAACACAAGGTGAGCAGGTGCACAACTAGAAAACACAGATGATAAACATTTACCTTCTTTGGCTCCATCTCCTTCACCATCTATCAATAAATGTCATACAGGCATTATAGTTCTGTATATAATTTAAATTTGATAACAAATTTCAAATTTTATGATTTTTAAGTGTAAGGTCTATAGTTTTCAAGGTTTATAGTAATGAGATAAGACCAGGATAAGCTTTCATCATAACCACAAAAGTGAAAATTGCATTGTTACAGCGGTAATGACCAAATACATTCATGAAGAAAAAACTGCTCTTGTTTGATAAATCTTTTAATGTGAGCTTTGAGTAACAGTCATCCTGAACCATGGGGGCTGATCCAGGTCACAGATCAACTGTAATCCAGACACCACTAGGATTCAGTTGTAACAAAGGCATGCATGAGACATGGCCGCTCTGTGCTGAACCCCTCAGACTGGAGATGGGGTGGAAATCTTGGTGCAATCAATGGCAGCCAGCATAAATGCAGAGATATTTTCATTATGCATTAGCAGCTTCTTGTATAATTCTTCTTCATCAACGGATAATGCTTCATCAGGATGGAGATTTTTTTTTCCCCCAAACCAATCTTCCAAAAAAAAAAAAAAAATCTCTTGGAGAAAATTACTGTCTGCAAATGACGGCATTAAGCTTTAGAGGATAGAGCACATTTTAACCACACTGGCCCTTTCCCCTCTCTCCTCTGTCCACAAAATCCATCAGGGGAATTTAAGAAGCTGTTAATTACTTACCCGTCCCTTTTGAAAGGAGGAAGAGAGCAGGAGAAAAATCAAGAGAGAGAGGGGGACTTTCTAAAAGCTAAAGCTCTGCTGTAGTGCAAATCCTCTCTGCCTAACAAAACCAAATCAATCTATACTCCTTTAAGCAATCCACAAACCGCTCACACACACACACACACACAGGAAGATGATCCTGTAAATCTGCGGTCTCTGGGGGCTGTTTGAGTGCCACTCTAAGGATTTTGGGGAGGGGGCGACCACAGGGGCTTGGGGATCGAAGGAAAAGTGTAAATATCCCCAAATTGCAGGTAAAATGTAACATTAAGATCGGTAAGCCCCACTTGCTGCCGTAATTTTCCACAGCACTAAAACGTTGCACTAAATGACCTCTATTACAGAGCCTGAACCCATTAAGTCAATACAGGAGAGACTACCTGTGAAATAGAGGCGACGAGCTGCCAACTCTGACAGCAGCCGCCCCCAAAAAAGCCCGAGGCAAAATTAGATTTGGGGCCGAGGCGTGGCCTGTGCCTGCAGGCCAGAATTAGAGGATGTAGTATTGACCGCCCCTCGCTTGTTAGGAAAGAATGTGTGTACGAGGGCATGAGGGTTGATCACAGTGCAAAGAGATCAAAAACAAGAGCATGGTGGAGTGATTTAAGACCAATTTAGGTCCTGGAAACTGAACAAGATCTGCAGAGTCTTCAGGTGGTTACTCTGAATGTCACATGTAGCAACAGTCTGAAGCCATGTGCCGGTGTAAACCAAGGTTTTGGATGATAGTGCAGAATGTGGTACTGTAAAAAGAAAGGGCTTACAGTTTTTTCTGACAATGTTAAGGAAGAATATCCCTGAGTGAGCAAATTTTATAGGTGCCAATAGAGTTCAGAGATGTGGGTCCCTTTATTAAAAGGGATGTAACAGCTGAATTATGGATAATCCTAACATGGATGCCAGGTGTGTACCAGCATTCATAAGGGCACATTTTGGTGCAGGCCCTCTGTGTGACGATACAAATGCATGCCAGTCCCAATATGTGTATAAAGAAAAGAACTCCACATCCAGATTCCCACCCAGACTGAGAGATAGGAGCCCATCTTACTCAGCCAGTCAACAGACAAACAAATCACTTTCTGACAGACAAAGACAAGTGAGTAAAATATGGCACCATTTGAAATGGTGCCACACAAGTGTGAAGGTCACTGTGATTTAGTTGAAAATATCATACAGCAAACATGCCTCCCTTTTTCCTGCTGGTAAATCTTAGCAGGCCAGAGTGAGCACAAATGCAGCCTGTGTTTTATGGCAGTAGATCTACAATCATAGTCAGCTGTCACGAGGACAGGAGAAACAACATGTTAAAGATGATTTATCTACAGTGAATAATTCTTCCTTCTTCACATTTCAGCTAAGAATTCATACCAGCCCCTTTTTGACTAAGCAGAAGGCCTCTGTTGTGCAACACATGTCCCGGGTGTCTGCTGGAGCCAGTCTGTTGGTTAGGTTGATTTGTGCTACATGGTGATGGTAAGAAATGACCTAACTGGCTACTACTGTACTGCTTTTGATCTGTTCAGTTTATTGTTCCATAGTCTGTTGTGGTCATGAGAAAAGACACGTCAATACCATTTCTTTCATTACTATTATTTCAAAAACGTACCTAATAACTGAGAGTTTCCTCTTTATAATGTCTCAGTTTATTGGTTGTAGTAATAAATAGTGCTGCACAGTTACTCTAATCCAAAACACAGTCACATCATCAGAATATACATTTATATAACTGCACAAAAGGCTACTATTTGAATGCCCATTAAGGCCTGTTGATGCTTCACCATGTTGTAGTTTTTAGTGCCTTAAACTGGTTCAAGGTGATAGCAGTTTAAGAAACAGCCCAGTTCTTAGAATCTTACAATAAATAATACATTTGACCGTCTAAAGTCTGCAGGATAATATTTTTTGTGTGACAACCTTACTTACAGCTCTTTTTGACAATTTTAAAATAGACTGGAATTCATATTTATGTCAGGACACCACAAGGTAAACAAAGCCATCATCAATAAGATAGACAAGACGTTTATGGTTACTTTTATTGCGTGAAACAAGGGCAAGGGGTGTAGGTGTCAGCCAAACAGCTGATGATCCAACCCTCTTTTTACAATCTCCTTGTTTGGAGCCTGTTTCAGTATGCGCCTGGATGTTCTCACAGTTCATGTGTACGGCATGTTTGTTTGGTCATATGACTGTGCAGAGCCTGGAGCCTATTCTACAAAGCAAGTTTGACCTAGCGAGGTAGCCTTGGAGCTATCTTGCTCAACTTAGCGTGGTAGCCAGCGGTCTCGCTAAACGGTTTTACGACGCTGGTTATCAACCTCATAAGTTGATCCAGCATGTAAGGCGGAGCCCGCCGCATCTGACCAATCGTGAACATGGACCAGTCTGGTATGAAGTATGAAGAATTCAAAGCTATCATAAACCTCTAAAGCAACACCGTCAACACCAACACACTCTTTAAAAGCTCTGTCCTTAGATCGAGGTTTGGTCCTCTTAGGTTTTGAGATCTTGATAGTTTGTATGAGGTGAATTGAATATGGTTTGAGCCACTTACCGCACTCTTTAAAAGTGTAACAACCCCAACACACTGTCAACAATAACATCTACATTTTAACAAACAAATGGACCACAAGTGGAACAGCAATGACAGCATGCTCTCTGGACTTTCTGGAGGGAGGAGCAGTTACATGGAAGACAGAGATGGAAAAGTCGAAGACAGATCCCTAAAAACTGAAACAAAAACATCAACCAGAAAAATTTCCTCTGGGGAAATATGAAAGGGACACAAGGGCTACAGCCAGGGTGTGTATGTTATGATGGAATACTTCACAGATTTCATAAAAAATGAATACTAGTAGGATTGGGATTTCATATACAAGAAGCACATCAACAAAAAACATCCTTTTTCATTTATTTATACAAAAAAAAAAAAAAAGCTGCAGTGGTAGACCTTAGAAAAAACTCCATCAATTGTTCCTCTTTTTTTTACTGGGCCCATTATCACTCTTTGAGCAGTAGGACTAGTCGCAAAATTTGTCTGGAAGAGGAATAAGAAAAACTCCACAGTATAACAATAGTGCCTTGGTGTGTTTCCCCCGTGGTCATAATAAACTGTACATGACGAGAGACAATTTAAGGGAAGTTAAATCATGATTGGAACTTTAGAGAATAAACTATAGAAACACACTTCTTTGGATACATTTGCAAGTTTAGTTTAGTTTTGTTATTTATTTCATTCATTTATCAAGCATAAAAACAAAAATAAAACTCATAAAAAAGACAAGACTCCTGATTGAGTATACACACACATAAATTTACCATCACATGTGCACATATACACATAAAGATACATTAACACTTGTATCTGTATATAAACCCATACAAACAGACACACATTGTCACATTTTCTATACATCTTTACCCGCAACCCTGACAGGATCACCACCTTATCATGGTGGGGTGGTTTGCGTGTCTCCATGACCCCTAGAGCTATGTCAGCAGGAGTATTGCACTCCTGGCAGGGTCACCCACGCCGAACAGGTCGAAGGGTAGAGACCAGACAAAGAGTGATCCCACTGGCCCTCCAGGTTGGGGTTGGGCTGTGGGCTGATAACCCACTCCCGAAAAAAATACATTATTACAGAATCTAGAAGCAGAGCACACACACTAAATCAGGGGAACGCTGTAGCCAGTCCTGTAACCAGAGCCACAATGACGCACAGGGGCCAAAGCCAACAGGACACCCTTGGGCTGAATAGACCACAGCTACACCCGAAAAACATCATGAAGATTGGAAACTGGAATGTACGGACATTAAACGCAAGCGGCAACATCACACTAGCGGCAAGAGAAATGACCAAAAAAGGAATGGACATCTTGGGCATCAGTGAAACACACTGGACAGGACAAGGAAAAGTGGAACTGGCAGGAGGAGAAACCATCATTTACTCAGGAAGAGACGACGAAAACCACAGACAAGGTGTAGGCATACTCATGTCGAAAACTGCAGCAAGAGCCCTGATTGACTGGACACCGGTGAACGAAAGAATCCGTTTAGCCAGATACCACTCCCAGCACATTAAGCTGACAATCATACACATTTACGCACCCACAGAAGACGCAGAAGAGCAAGAAAAGGACAAATTCTACATGAGACTTCAAGATGTACTAGACAGTAGGAACAAACATGACATGCTGATTATAACAGGAGACATGAATGCCAAAGTAGGAGATGGATACCAGGATTATGACGGGGTCATGGGCAAACATGGACTCGAATGGCTGAATAACAACGGAGAAAGGCTGTGCGACATGAATGAACTAGTCATAACAGGAACTCAGATTGACCACACTCTCATCAATCAACGTTTCAGGAATTCAGTGAATGACACAAGAGTACACAGGTCTGCAGACATTGGAAGTGACCACTACCTTGTATGCACAACAATCAAGTTGAGACTCAAGAAGCGACACAAGGAAAGGAAAAGCACCAGAATCAAGTATGATACAGCAAAACTGAAGAATCAAATCATCTTGAAGACCTTTGCCATCCATCTAAGAAACAGGTATCATATACTGGAAGAGGAAGGGCAAGGAGTAGAATATGAAGAGGTAGAGTGTGACTTCCAAGTGATGGAGCGGGCATACGTGGAAGTAGCTGAGGCAGTCTTGGGTACACCACGGAAAAAGAAGCCATGGCTCAGCGAGGAATCATGGAGCCTCGAAGAGGCAAGAGAAGGAATTAATAAGAAGATTCTGGGAACACGTTCTGAAAGAGTCAAGAAACAACTAAGAGAGAAGTATGCAGAGAAGAACAAAGAGGTGAAGAGAAGTATAAAAGCAGACAAAAGGAAATGGATGGAGGACATCGCAAGTGAAGCTGAAGCCGCCGCAAGAAAACAACATATGAAAACATTATATGGATTATATTACAATCCGGATCTGACAAGCTCTCTAACATCTGGATCATAAAGACTCTCTTCTATTCTTTTCATTCCTTCTTTGGCTCTTGCTTTTCTTTTCTTTCCTTTTCAGTGTTTTGTTTTGTACTTATGAGAGCTCAGTCACCTGAGTACATGATCCCACTTGTCTGCAAACACAGTGTCAACACTGCAAATAGAGTTGTGTTTTTGTTAGTGTGTGTTATTGTGTGTTTATGTCTCCCTGTCAGACACTATAGCAAGAGGCTAAGGTGATTTCATTGTTGTAATCATGCAGGGTGACACTATTCTTTGTGTTGATGCTCGTTCAGACTCACACATGCATGTATGTGTGTGAGGACCCAAAGCAAATGGGATTGTGTGTGTGTGTGTGTGTGTGTGTGTGTGTGTGTGTGTGTGTGTGTGTGTGTGTGTGTGTGTGTGTGTGAATGCATGTGTGCGGTGTTTGTTGCCATAGCAGTCATCCCGCAGGGAGCGGATAGTGGTGGGGATGGAGGGAGGACGTTTTTAAGCACTTCAAAGTGGCCTCATTCCACAAAACTGAGCTCAGAGGTGTGTGTGTGTGCGTGTGCATGTGTGTGTGTTGCTTCTGAAAACCTCCCTGTCTGTCAGAGTAGCTCTGCATTGAAATGTATATATTTAAATATATATATATATATATATATATATATATATATATATATATATATATATATATGTATATATACACATTCACACACACACACACACACACACACACACACACACACACACACATATATATATATATATATATATATATATATATATACGTGTGTGTGTATGTGTGTGTGTGTGTGTGAATGCATTTGAATGTTTTATAGGGTATATCTGTGAGTCCATACAACAGCTCATCTTTGTGTATTTTGTGTGTTATCTATGTCAGTGTATGTGAGAGGCAGGAAAAGGTGGACTGCTGTACCTTGCTTTGTTTGTGCTCTCTTCCAGTCTGGCTTCCTCTTGGGATGAACTATAGAGAGCCGTGTGTGTGTGTGTGTGTGTGTGTGTGTGTGTGTGTGTGTGTGTGTGTGTGTGTGTGTGTGTGTGTGTGTTTCAAGTGTATGTAGACAAAGCTGCAGCACATCTGACGCTCACAGGGTGCAAGAGTGAGGGAAAGTGAAAAGATAGAGCGTGTCACAGTGACTGATGAGTTGCTGGACTCGGTGAAAGAGAAATCCACTCTATTGCTTTGTCTCCTGTTTCCCCGCAGGAGAAAATGGAAATAGCCAACATTGAGCCAATGCAGTCAATACCACTCTCCAGAAAAGAGCTGAGAGGGACGCTCTCTGCCGCAGACTGATGGAGGGAAGAGTGGGGGATAGCAGGAGTATGTCAGGTTTCATCTGCCCCGTGTGACACATGGCGCTCTGACAGCTCTGCTACACTCGATCTAGTCCACTCCTTGTCGTCTCTTCTTCTGAAAATATACTGGGTTTCTGTGGCTCAGATTGACCTGCAGGAGGATGAATATGCTTGACCACCAACATGATCATCTGAGTAACAGCAACAACTCCAGGCTTATTTCTTACATTGCATGTAGGCTGGTGCCTCATTCTTCTATTCAATTCAGTGTTCACTCTGGTCTCCTTTTTCCTGTAGTTATTTTCTTAAATGTGCTCCTCTACATGACCGATGAGGGGATTGTAACACTCTAACCATCTCAATTGATCTGTTCATTTGTTTTTAAGATTGACTTTTGGGCTTTTTTGGCCTTTGTTGACAGATGGGGACATTAGATAAAGCAGTGAATAGGAGAGAAAGAGAGAGCGGGGGAATTGAACCTCGACTGCCTGCATATCACTGGGCCGTCAGCGCCCCCATGCATTGATCTGTTCAAAAGCAATCCAGTGGAATTCAAATGGACAAAGTCCAAAAGTCTATCTACATTGTCCTTTTCAACACTTTTATGTTGAATATCGTGACAGTTCGCCTGTTTCACAGTGTCTGCCCAAGTGCACCTGTGGATCTGTTGACCATCTGCCATTTCATTTTTCACCTGCAAAGACATGAGGCCTTTGCAGGGTTGCAGTAAACTGGTGGTTTTGCAGAGTTTCCGTAAAACTGGAGCCAAAATATTCAAGTAGTCCCTTTTTCTCCATATTATTTCAAAGTGGTGAAACACAAATGTGTAAAGTTATGATGTTTAAAGGAAACCCACATAATAGGACATGTAAACCTCATTGGATGTATTTCAGCTGTACAAAACTAAGACAGATATCTGCTTGTTGACAAATTTAAAAATAAGACTCAGTTGTATGTGGCCATGACTCGTTCGTAGCTTGTTACTGTGGTGTGACACGGTTGCTGTACTCTGGCTGCTGCACCCAACTTCCCCTAACCTTTCCCCTATGGGCGGCATTACAGCAATGGGAGTGCATGCAGTTCAAGTGAAGGGAAAATAACAAAGGAGTGTTTATGTGGATCAAAAATAAAGCAGTCAGAGAGACAACAAGATGAACATGTTTTCTTCTTTTCTACATGTTCATATTACATTTATCTGATGCTACAGAACATATTATGAGAAAAAATAAGTGTGAAATTGCATTTTAAAGTATTTCTGCATTCAAATCACTGTGAATCTCTGACAGACCCAAACGGCAGGTTCAGACACAGTAGGATTTCATACGTCACAACTCCAAACTCCACCCCAGGAGCCCCGCTATGCAGACCACACTCGGAGAAATAGAGAGGACCCAGAACAAGCGTGTGCCTTAGCAGATTGCAATGTTTGTAAGAAAGTTAAAAATGATATTAGCTTTCATCAGGTCCATAAAGACATTAGTGATCGAGAACTGAACAGCTTCTATGTTACCTGCTTCTTCTACTACACTGGCTGTTAGGCTACAAGCTAGCATGAAGAGGAGTGTGCAGAGCAGCGCTGTCTCAGCCCACGACTCAGAGGGGAATTGCTAAATGAGCTACAGGAGCTCTGCAGAAGAAAATGACACAGATGACGTGATTTTGGCTAAAATTCATTCTCACAATTTAAAGACCACTGAGAACACATAAAGGTAGGGTTGGTAATCTGATTTAGATACACTTTTTGTTCATTCTGGTGAAAATCATCTTCATGTTCCAATGGCAATCAATACATGACATGTTCTTAAAAAAGACTGTGCAAAGACTTCCATATCTAGAGTCCCAAAGTTTTGAGTCTGTGGTTTTGAATCTGAATCATGTCGTGATTCAATGCGCATGGCTGAGCTGAGAGGGATACAGTTATGCTGGAGAGTGGCAGAGAAACTACCTATACCCAGATTCATGGTGACCGCTCCTCCCACAAAAAAGAGCAAGAAAAGAAAGATGGAGGCAGAGAAGGCTGAAGCAAGACAGAGTTTGAAGATAGCAAGAGCAAAAACGAAAGTCAACATCGACACAGCTTTTCAGCGATGGAGAGAACTAATAGAGGTCAAGGGCTTTAAAAGGGATGCCATGGTCGCTCGTTTCCTGTTGGAAGTTGAGGGTTTGTTTTCAGGGCGATTTTTAATCTTGATCAAGTGTCTGTGGTTTTGAATCATCAGACAGCAGCGCTCGTGCATGTGAGCAGGGTTGTTGTTTTGGAAGAGCTCCAGTGGGAGGGGGGGAGGGACTAGGTGAAGTCCTGAGGAGATGCTACATTCAAATTCATGCTAGTTTGCTGTGATTACCAACCCTACCTTTAAGTAGTAAAAGAAAAACAGTCGGAGTGGGACTTTAACTTTATAATGCAAAAATGTGAAGAAAAAAGATGTTTTGCATTGATTGCCTGTCAAATTTGAGCAAAATAATTGAGTTAACAAATTGATGTCTTTAGTGTTAGATAATAGTCTGAAACAAATTATTTAAGGCCTCAATTTAAATCCCATTAAATCATCAGTATATTGTGGTAGTCTTTTCTGATAGCTGCCAATACTGTATTGTATCCAAACCAATGCCTTAATTTGTTTCATTGGGTGGTTTACACCCCTATAGCTGATACCTACAGTTGTGAGTGAAAGTCAGGGCACCCCTTTAAAAAAAAGCATAGTTTATTTATTAAAAAAATAACCTTGATATTGATATTGATAGTCTCTCTGGTAAATAGGAAAAAAGAAAAAATCATTAATGCACAGTTACTTTTTATTTTATAAAAAGTACAAAATTACAAAAATAAAAAAAAATCTTTTTGGCTTATACAAATGTCAGGGCACCCTTCAGCATCAGTACCTTCAGTACTTAGTAAGACCCCCTCTGGCAGATATCACAGCTTGTAAACGCTTTTTATAGCCAACTACAAGTCTCTGGATTCTATCCTTTGGGATTTTACCCCATTGTTCCTTGCAAAAGGCTTCCAGTTCTGCAATATTATTGGGTCGTCTTGCATGCACAGCTCTTTTAAGAACAACCCACAAATTTTCAATGATGTTTCAAGTCTTGAGACTGTGAAGGCCATTCTGAAACCTTCAGCTTGCGTTTCTTGAGGTAGTCCATTGTGGATTTAGAGGTATGTTTAGGATCATTATCCTGCTGTAGAAACCGTCCTCTTTTTAGCTTCAGCTTTTTTACAGATGCTGTGATATTTGCCTCCAGAATTTGCTGGTATTTAATGGAATCCATTCTTCCCTCCACTCAAGCAATGTTTCCTGTCCCATTGGCTGCAACACAATCCTAAAGCATGATGGATCCACCCCCATATTTCACAGTTGGCAAGGTGTTCTTTTCATGAAAAGCTGTTCCTTTTTTTCTCCAAACATACCTTTGCTTATTGTGGCCAAAGAGTTCTATTTTAACTTTATCAGTCCACAGCACTTGTTTCCAGAAGTCATCAGGCTTCTCTAGATGTTCTGTTGTATATTTTTGTTGTTGTGTTTTATGATGAGGACGCAGGAAAGGTTTTCTTCTGCAGACTCTTCCATGAAGGTCTTGTTTGTTCAAACATCACCGCACAGTGGAAGGGTGCACCACCACTCCTGCGTCTGCTAAATATTCTTGCAGGTCTTTTGAAGTCAAATGTGGGTTTTGATTTACTTTCCTGACCAGCAAACGAGCTGTTCT